ATCTCCAGCTACCACAACCTCTTCGGCCTGCCTTTGATAGGACGGAAGGACAGTGAGGTTGTGCTCACGGGACGTGAGGTAGACAGCATGGCGGTGAATCAGGCTACCGGTCTTCCATCTTTGGCCTTGCCACGGGGTGTAAGCTGTCTGCCTCCGATCCTCCTGCCTTATCTGGAGCAATTCAAGAAAGTCACACTGTGGCTGGGGGGAGATATGCGCTCCTGGGAAGCCTCAAAAATATTCTCCAGGAAACTTGGACTGAAACGCTGTTCTCTTATCCGGCCAGGGGACATTCAGCCGTGCCCCAGTGAGGCACTGGCTCAGGGCAGGAACTTGGCACGAATTGTCAAGGCTTCAATCCCTGCTGCCCACAAGTCCATTGTGTCCTTCAAGCAGCTCAGGGAGGATGTGTATGGGGAACTGGTTAATGTGGAGCAGGTGGCTGGGATACAATGGTCTCGATTCCCTGAGCTTAATCGTATACTTAAAGGTCATCGCAAAGGGGAACTGACAGTTTTTACAGGTACAGCCGACATAGCCATATATATATATATATATAAATCTTAAATAATAAAAGTAATTGAATAGTATTTGTATCATGTAACAGTACGTAGTATTATGTGAAATATAATAATAATTGATATAATAATAATATTATTGTACAATGTGTAAAATATAGTATGTGCATAAATATGAAACAAACAATAAATAATATAATGTAATATAATATATTTATATTTCTTCTTGTGTGTGTATTTGTATATGCAGGTCCAACAGGCAGTGGAAAGACCACCTTCATCAGCGAGTGTGCCCTAGATCTGTGCATGCAGGGTGTCAACACATTATGGGGCAGCTTTGAAATCAACAATGTGCGTCTGGCCAAAATTATGCTGACCCAGTTTGCCAAGCAAAGGCTGGAGGAGAAGCTGGATCAATATGATGTGTGGGCTGACAAGTTTGAGGACCTACCACTCTACTTTATGACCTTCCATGGACAACAGAACATCAAGTAAATTATTGCCATTCCTTTTATAAAAGCTAATACATTGTTTTATTGTAAATAGATATATTGTATTGCCAGTCCTATGGCTCTGTGATTTTTTTTATGTGAATTTTAATTATGTAAGGCTTTAAAAAAAAAATAATAATGATCAAATGACTTTTATATTTGCACCCTGCACAGGACTGTTTTGGATACCATGCAGCATGCCGTTTACCTGTATGACATCAGTCATGTGATCATTGATAACCTGCAGTTTATGATGGGCCAGGAGAACCTGTCTGTGGACAAGTAAGGCAACAATTTGAATATGCTTTTTATTTAACAGAGTTTCTATGGTCCTGAAAAACCTGGAAGTATTGGGGAATTTCAAAACCGTGATTTCCAGGCTTGGAAAAGTATAAAATTATAAAATCTTGAATGGTCATGGAAATTCTGTAGTCAATAATAATTTTTCTAGTAATGCTCAGTTATTATTCTTTGTGAGTCAGATTTCTATAAAAGGATTTCTTAAAGTGCCCCTATTATGCCCTATTTAAGGTTCCTAATATTGTTTTGGGAGTCTCCTACAATAGGTTTACATGCATGCAAGGTCAAAAAACGTTTTCTCAAAACGTATTTAATATCACCTCATTTTCCAGCGATTCTTAAACAATTTGTTTGAAGCAGTTCTAAGATTCAGTCTCTCTAAACTCCTCCTTTCCGTAAACCTACTCTGCTCTGATTGGTCAGATGGCCCAGTCTGTTGTGATTGTTCTACTGCTCACAGCGCATGTCAGAAACGATACACCCATTGTCATAGTTCTGTATTTTGAACGCTTGCTAGAAAATATAAAGATCTATTGTTTATCATACTTACAGGTTGTGATTCAGTGGAGCCAGCTGGTCCAAATAAACTGGGTACTGAACCATCTTTCAAGAGCAAACGATTTGTGAATCCCACGTTAAACTTTGCGAGATTAGAGAAGCAGTCATCAATGAAATAAATGACAGGAACACACACTCAAAAAAAAGATTGGGGTTGTACTGCTGTGAATTTTAACCACTGATTCTTTGCAACCTCATTTTTGGAAGTGAAATTAACAAATTTACTTTCACAGCATAGGACACAGGGTCTTCTCCACATGATGTTAACCACACTAACAAGCTACAGTGTTTGAGGGCGTTTGCAAATATGTTACCCCGTGACGTGTAGCCGTCACAGAAGTGGGATTCGAATTACTGACGACTTGTTTAGGCTGTTCAGAGTCGATTCTTTCTTTTGGGAGACAATAACTTTATTTATCGTGCACTTTCAGCTTTACAACTTTGCAGATCGTTTACATTCACATACAACTACATTACACACTGCATGAAAGGCTATATTTGAAATGGTATAATAGGGGCACTTTAAAAAGTAATCTTATCTACAGTGTATATATAGAGAGAAAGAGAGAGAACTGGATAACCAAATGTCTTTTTATTCCTCAGGTTTGCAGTACAAGACCACATCATTGGAGCCTTCAGGAAGTTTGCCACAAACAGCTGCTGTCATGTGACTTTAATTATCCACCCTCGGAAAGAAGAGGATGATAAAGAACTGCAGACAGCATCTATCTTTGGCACAGCCAAGGTTGGTAGATACAGACTGTGCCCACATGTGTATTCCTTGAGATACAAATTTCTACATGTACATGTTTAGTTTCTATCTATAAGAAAATCTAATGTATCTATCTGTAAGAAGTCTAATGTATCATTTCCCCCATATCAGGCTAGTCAGGAGGCAGATAACGTGCTCATCCTTCAGGAGAAGAAGTTGGTGACGTGTCCAGGCCGTAGGTCCCTTCAGGTGTCCAAGAACCGCTTTGATGGGGACGTGGGGATCTTTCCTTTAGAATTTAATAAAGCCTCGCTTACCTTCTCTGCGCCTGTGAAGGGAAAACAGAAGCTTCGTAAGGTGAAAGTGGACAAGAATATCAGCACAGAGGAAATAGAGGAGACTGAACTCAAAGAAAAACGTGAGAAAGCTCTCAAGCCTGCCAAGGCAAAGACAGTTAAGGGGTCAGCAGCATTAAAAGATACCACAGATGGAGAAGGAAATAATCAGTAGCTCAGGGAATTCATTATTTGCATGAATTCAAATAAAATGATTAATACATGAAAATGTAATGTTATGGTGTTTGCTGCATTTTTGCTACTGAGTAAATGAATGAATGTTCATGTTAAGTATTTTTAGATTTTTTTGTAGGGAGTTGTATGCAATGTTTTGTATATCCACTTATGTTTTATATGCACTTAAATGCAACAAATATGAACAAGTATTTGATGATTTAAAGAAGGTTTAAATACGGACTTTAAAGCTGCATTTGAAACGATGCCATACATTTCATCGATGCAAATACATTTCATGGATTATGTGCAAAAATTACATGTGATCTGTTTCCGTTTTATTGTCATTACTGTTGGAGAAAAGTGTCAGATAAGCTATTTAAAGGAGGCTGTGAAAACTGTTAATAAAATGTTTTGTAGGATTTGTATCTTCTGCTTACCTATGTTGTGTATATTTTGATTTCTGACAGTTGAATTTATTTTATGTTTTGAAACTATTGAAATAGTCTTTTTTAATATACTTTTGTTGAACGAATGGTAATTTAATACACTTCAACCCTGATCACACACAGCATGGAAATTAAAGGCAGGGTATGTGATTTTTCAAAAACACTTTAGAAAACTGATTCGGGCCGAATCGCAAAACAAACTTGTAGCCAATCAGCAATAAGGGGCGTGTCTACTCGTGATGTGGAGGGGAGAGCTTTCAGTGCATGGGACGGACATTAGCCGAGCCGAGTGACAGATAGATAGAGATGGCGGATAAAAAACAAAAGAGGAAAACTTCTGCGGAACGATAAGGCAAGAAGTAGGACCCGTGTAAATATCGGATCAGCTTTCCAGCGCTGGAGAGAACTTAAGGAGCGGAGGCCTGCGATCGGACGTCGAGGTTGCTTTGTTTCTTCTCAATAGGTGAGTAACATCGTGTCTACAACAGCTAAAGTCTGCTACGCTGGACGCGATCAAACGACCGTTGAAAACCATTTGAAATGTGTGTCAGCACGTCATAAATAGAACCCGGCAGCAGTTTTCTGTCGGGGATTTGTTGCGCCGCGCCGCTCACGTCCGTAGACACGGTGTAACATTGGTTTTGCTTTGTTTCACAGAACTAATCGTTGCCTGGGTTGCGTACGTATGTGTGGGGCGGAGCTATCAAAATAGGGGCAAGACCCTTTTGGGGTAGGGGCGTGTTTGTTTTGGTGATTTCAAATATCAACATTGGCTACCAGAAATCACTTACTCTGCCTTTAATGTACAAGTATAGTATTTTAAGTGTTGTATGTATAGTAAATAAGTAATTTATTAATGAACTTTAGTGACAATACAATTATGTCAAAATATAATATGAAAGTGTAATACAATAAAACAAAAATGTTTTATTTGTAAATGCATGTTTAGAAAATATTAAAATGGAGCTTTCCTAATATACTGATGCTTTAAAATAACGCTCTCAGACAATATACTTTTTCGGACAATGTTTTTTAATAAAATATATAAACTAAAATCTTTTATTTAATTTCTGGTTTGCCGGTTTTTTTTGTTTTTTTGTATGTCTATGAACTTTATTATAATTCGATCTGTAAAAAGTTTTTAATGACGTTTCATTGATGTTTGCTTTTTTGATAGTTACTAGGTTTGAGCAGGATCTTGACACACTGCAGCGTGATGCGAAACGTGTCATATGACTTCTTGCACCAATCAGGAACCTTGTATGTGTAGGAAGTATCCGAGCCTGAATTGCTGGTTTCTGTTCCTTTACATAAACTCCGTGGATTAAAGAAAATGTATTCAACTTTTTTTTCATTCATCGCTATAAATGATTTGCTCGGTAATGTAAGCTGCATGGCCTCAGTTTTTGGAAATCTGATGAACACTTATAATAATTTTTTTTTTTTGTGAAGTAACTGCAAAATTGCGCCACAATGGCCAACATTTGTCCAATTAAAAATATTGCAGATTTAGTTTTTGAAGCTCGTCGTGTGTACCGGGAAACATTTGACGGGGATGATGCAAATGTTGCTGTTTGCGCTCCTGGACGTGTGAATTTAATCGGAGAACACACAGATTATAATGAAGGATTTGTTCTCCCAATGGTAATTACACTTTTTTGACATTATTTAATCCCATTAGTCAGCAAGTGTTGGTTAAGTAAAAAAAAAAGTATAAATATGTTGTAAAATATGTAATATAGTTTTTTGTGTGAGCGAATTAATCTTTTGAATCGAATCTTAGAAATGAATCAGTTGAAACGATTTACAAAACAGGTCTGAGCCACTGATCTATAATAGAGTGGTCAAAAAAAATTCTTCACGAATCGGATGAATTGATGTGTTCAGTTCTCGAGCCAATAACTAATTTTTGAACCGATAATCGACGAGCATAAGGAATGTTGCTCAAACTTACAGGAACTAATTTTACGACTTATTCGACAAATATTCCACAAATTTGAAAAAGCTGGTTTTAACAAATAGTATTTTATCGAAACATGAACATGATACTTTTTCAGTCAAGAGACTGAATTAATAAGTAAATTATTTTTAGTATTCTATAGTGTAAAGGAAAATTATAATTATGTCATAAATGATTTTATGAACCATGAATGCAACAAACTGAACCAAAAAAAATAAAAAATGTACTTGGGGGGCCAAATGTGTCACATATGCTTTATAATAGGGTTTGGAACTTCTGATGGAGTTGTTACGTCATGGCATAATATAAGCTTCATTATTATTATTATTTTGATTCAATAATTTGAATCAAACTGTTTGAAAGAACCGATTCCTGTAAATGAATCAGCCTTACCAGCACTAATGCAAAGTGACCCAGTGTTACTTCAATTTTATGACATGTTGTTTCTTTGTCCATATGCAAAATACTATATCCTGCAGAGCTGATATCTGAACAGTGGAAATGATTGATTGTCCTTTCACATCCTTGATTATATTTTCTATTGTAGATAGTAGATTGCAGACGTTGCCAATTTACACACTTCCATCTCTCCTTATAAATGGGAATTAATAATAGGAACAAGCAGATTTTCTTCTCAAATCAAAACACTCTTCAATTATGCACTGACAATCTGTGTTATAATGTTTGTTTGAATGATTGCAGGCCTTGCCAATGGTGACCGTTATAGTGGGCAGCAAAACTTCTGACCAGAAGTGCTGTGTTGTAACTCAGACTGAAGCTGCTGATGAGCCCAGGGTGGTGCACTTTCATCTCCCAAATGAACTGGCCCCACTTTTAAGAGGGCAGCCAAACTGGGCCAATTATGTAAAGGGAGTTGTACAGCACTACAGAGGTAATCTTTTGCTATCATTTTTGCCTATCTGGCAAAAAAGGGAAGTAATGAGGAAGTGTACACTTAGTCTGCCTCCAGCACGAAATGTGACCCTAGGGACCCATGCTGAGAACTTGTCTTTGGACTAACTTTTTAATGCAGTGTTTCCAATAGCCTTACTTGCAACACGTACAGAATAGCTGCTGAGCACATGTTCACTGTCTTCTAACTCTAAAAGTAAATATAGATTGAATATATACTTTGAATGGAGTACATATTAATCTCATGCATGTATTAGCTTTCACAAATGGACATACCTTCTGTTTCCACAGCACAGCCCATCCCTGGCTTCAGAGCTGTAATAGCTAGTAGTGTACCACTAGGAGGTGGACTCTCCAGCTCAGCTTCACTTGAAGTGGCTGTGTACACCTTCCTGCAGCAGTTGTGTCCAGGTAGGAGCTCCTTCTGTCTGTCACACTCATTTTAAATGGTCTTGGTCTTTTTTTTTTTTATATATCCCTATCCACCTTATTTTTAACATAGAGCGACACAGCCATTTGTAACTCGAATGTGCAAGGCTTCTGGTGTCATTGACTTACAGCTATTTTTAGCTGTCCAAAAACCTGTTATGCTGCTTGACATTGCAAACGGATATTTCTTATAATAATAATTTAATGTATTGTCATAATAATAAACAAAGTGGTTTGTAGTGCAAATAGCTATACTGCACTTTGTTATTCTTCTAGTTATTTACCTATAGCGGTTAATGAATCTGTAGTCTCACACATTCACAGAAAATAGCTTACTTTAAAAATAAAAGTACAAAAGTAAAAGTACTTATGGAACAGCAATAAAGAGTTCTTTAAATGCATAAACAATTACTCTATTGCTTACTTATTTAGTAATCTGTAAACAGTGTGTATACTTTTGCAATTTGTTTATATATTTTATTTTATTTTTTTGTTATTGTTTTTAATTTTTAATTTTATTCAATTACACTACCGTTCAAACATTTGGGGTCAGTAAGATTTTTTTTTAGAGGAAATTAATACTTTTATTGAGCAAGAATGCACTGAATCGATGAAAAATGACAGTAAAGGCATTTATAATGTTACAAAAGATGTAAATAAATACAAGGTCAAATATTTTTTTTAAATTCTCTATTAATCAAAGAATCCTTTAAAAAAATGTATCACAGTTTCCACCAAAATATTAGCAGCAAAACAACACATTTTTCAACACTGTTAATAATAATAAATATTTCTTGAGCACCAAATCAGGATATTTAGAATGATTTCTGAAGAATCATGTGACACTGAAGACTGTTATAATGGCTGCTGAAAATTACATTTTAAAATATATTAACAGTTATTTAAAATTGTAATTTCGTGTATAAAGATGTGTATAGTAGTTAATAGTTTCCTGGACTTCAAAAGAAATCCAAGATCTAACCTTCTAATGTTTTCTGGCCCTCCACAGATGATGGGGATCAGGTAGCGAAGGCAGTGGCCTGTCAGCAGGCTGAACACACGCATGCTGCTGTGCCCTGTGGCATCATGGACCAGTTTGTGTCTGTTTTGGGTAAAGAGGGCCACGCTTTGCTCATTGACTGCAGGTAAGTAGATTTGCCAATTCAAATTCTTCTGTCACATTAGAATTAATCGGTTATATTTAGTTACTAATTTGTATATGCAAAAATAATATCAAAAAATGTATTAAAGGGTGTACTCCACCCCAAAATGAAAATTTTGTCATTAATCACTTACCCCCATGTCGTTCCAAACCCGTAAAAGCTTCGTTCGTCTTCGGAACACAATTTAAGATATTTTGTCCATCTGCCATCAGTGGTTCAACCGTAACGTTATGAAGCGACGAGAATACTTTTTGTACGCAAAGAAAACAAAAATAACGCAGCGTAAAAAATAAGCAGCGTACACTCTTCTGTGTCAGCCGCGCTGCACGGATGCACTGTTTTCGTTCAAATCAAAGCGTAAATACACGTAGAAAACGTATCCTTGTGGCGCGGCTGACACAGAATAGCGTACGCTGCTTGCGTTCAGTGGTTATTCTCCAAAATGGTGCTACGGTGATGCGGAGAGACACAGAGGAGACGAATTGTTGAATAAAGTCGTTATTTTTGTTTTCTTCGCGAACAAAAATGATTCTCGTCGCTTCATAACGTTACGGTTAAACCACTGATGACAGATGGACTATTCTGACGATGTCTTTCATACTTTTCTGGACCTTGACCGTGTAATTTACTTGGCAGTCAATCGGACAGTCACAAGCCTCCCGTTTTCATCCAAAATATCTTAAATTGTGTTCCGAAGACGAACAAAGCTTTTACGGGTTTGGAACGACATGAGGGTAAGTGATTAATGACCATTTTCATTTTGGGTTGGAGTATCCCTTTAATAAAATTTTATGTAATCTTTCTAGATCTTTGGAGGCCACTGCTGTCCCTTTGGCTGACCCTGGACTTGTAATCCTGATCACGAATTCCAACGTTAGACATTCGCTCACAGGAAGCGAGTATCCCACCAGACGAAAACAATGTGAGGAGGCAGCAGCCATTTTGGGCAAGAAAAGTCTAAGAGAGGCTACTTTGCAAGATTTGGAGGGTAAGAAGAAAAGAGAGATTTTAAGCAGATACCATAATATAAGTCTTTAATCGAGGTCATTTCATTATAAAATACACATATTTTGTAAAAATCTAAATTTATTCATAGCTGCTAAGGATCGATTGGATGGTGTGACATACCGTCGGGCACGCCATGTGATCGAGGAGATTGAACGCACAGCGCAAGCTGCTGAGGCACTGAAGAGAGGGGATTACAAAGAGTTTGGGAGGCTGATGGTGGAGAGCCACAATTCTCTTAGGTAAACATCTATAATCGAAGCAAGATTATCATGTTGGAAGACTTACAGAGGTCAACTCTGTACAAGTGCTTTTCAGTGTCTGAAATGTTGTTTGCTTAACCCATTTATTGAATAGGTGGGGTTAACTGTCAGTTAAATGGCTTTTAATTATGCATTCTTTGCCTGGGGTTAATATTGTTTGTCTTAGGGATAATTACGAGGTCAGCTGTCCAGAATTGGATGAGCTGGTGGCGGCAGCACTGGAGGTGGATGGAGTGTTCGGGAGTCGGATGACAGGGGGAGGGTTCGGTGGATGCACAGTTACTTTGCTTCAGGCTCATGCCACGGAGAGAGCAGTCAAACACATTCAGGTTTTTACAAGTTTAACATCCTCTGTGCATCTGTGTATGACAATTCGTCCAAAAGATGTGTCTGAACTGAGCATTCTGGATGTTTTCGAAATATGATTATTTCTTCAGAATTTGTAACTCAGTACCTGCACTTGTATTTTCCATGATATTGTCTATGAATTAAGTTAACTGGAATTCAGGCCATGATATTAATACTTTTCTGTTTCCTTACAGAAAAAATATAATGGATCTCCAACTTTCTTCATAACTACTCCATCAGAAGGAGCGCATGCTCTCAGTCTATGATTTTTTAAATCAGTGCTAAACCAGTGATTTTTTTTTCAAATTACTTGAAATTTACTGTGATCTACATTTTTATAATTAATCCAAAAAAAAATAAAATAAAATAAATATATATATATATATATATGGTCTACATTTTTATAACTAATCAGTGTACACTAATCAGAATATATATATATATATATATATATATAATGTATGTATGTATGTATGTATATGTGCATTCTGTACAATCTTGCATTGAGAAGCCCAATTCCCACAATGATTAGCATTTTCAATAAAAAGGGTTTGTGTAACAAAGGACTTGTTTGCTTTTATTGACTTAATAATAATGTTTACATGCAATAAGCATAAGTATAGCGTATGCATAGCAAGTACATAATGTAATATGATTGCATCATATAATAATTGCTGTTAATAGTGTTCATCGTCTGTTTGATTACGTCTTTAATTGATTTTTCCGTACATTTCTGCCATATGTACATAAACTGACAGTCACCACTGATAAGATACCACTAAATATTGTAGAAACTTAATTTGCTTTAAAGTTGCTTTGCAATGATTTGTATCGTGAAAAGCGCTGTACAAATAAACTTGAACTGAATTGAATTGAATGTGAAGATGAAGAGTGTTTTGTTTTGTTTATATACAATGTACAGTAAGCATAAGTATAGCATTCGTTTAGCAATAACGTGTGTGTACTTAATATAAATAAAGATATTTCCAAAATAAAAATAATGAAAGCTAAAAATGTTTTGCATTGTGAAGATGAAGAGCGTTTTATGACATTAATAATTTTAAATAATTTTATTTTAATATTATTTAAACTTTTTTTTGTATTTACCTTTATTCTCAGTGGTGATTGTCATTAGACTCTCGTCAATGTAATACATTATTTTATTTACATTTATTATTTTAATTTGATTTAAATCAGCAGAATTTGAAGACCGCATAATAAGTATGATGTGTACTATAGCTCTATCTATCTAATGAGTTCTAGAGCGTGCACGCCCCCTGTTGGCCGCACGCGGAACTGTCCCGGAAGGCGTTTGTTCAGGGAGGAGCCAGAGCGCAAATCAGCAGTAAGCGCAGCAGGAAACACTTCACTGATAATCTTCAACCACTGTGTCCATACACAGACCTCGAAGGCGAGGTAAACGCAATTCGAGCTTGCGCTTCTTCACCGTCTGCTGTGGTTTCCCTCTTCACCTCAGGATAATTGCGCAAACCCGCTTGAATCGTGGACAGTGCCGGGACATTGGGCCGCGGTGAATCAGGTGAGTCCTGCTCGGGCCCGTCGACTGCTGCCCGGCCACAGGTGTTTCCACTCACCGACTCTATGGATGTGTCTCAAAACGTACTGAGATGTTTAGATAGCGAGCAAACGAATATTCATATAATACCTACAAATGCTGTCTAGCTAGGAAGCTCACGAGGTGTTGAGGCACAACCAGTGAATTCTAACTTACAGCTCTGTATGAACTTAACATATGTTTTTGTAATGGGGTACAAGCTGTCTGTTTGCAGATGAATCTGTTGTTTAATCTCTTCTTTTGCATTTTGAGTATTGTCCAGCTAACTAATGAATAACATTCAGTCTAAAACGAAGTTAACACTTAGTTCTGACCTTGTTCTCCACTGTTGCCCACACTATAATGAAACTACACCTCTCTGAATGAGAGAATAGAGAATGTGTTGTTAGTTCTCTAGTTACTCCGATCAGCAGCTGTAAAGCAGGTATATGTCCCGTACTGTGAACATACTGTCATACATTTACTTCATTTATTTTGATAGTTGCACAAAACAAAAATTATCCCACTGAGTCCAGATGGAGACTCAGATATCAAACTTAATCTACTAGCACTAGATATATCAGCCATTTATATATATATATATATATTGTCAGAGAAGGATGTTTTTGTGAAACACAATGTTAAAAAAAATCCACATTTTAGTCTACCAGGATGTCTTAAAATTGTTGCCAAAAAAAAAAAGTTATGCATACACTACCATTCAAAACTTTGGGGTCAGTATGATTTTTTTAATACAAAATGTAATACATTTATTGAGCAAGGACGCATTAAGGAGCAATTATGCATCCATTACAGTAATAAATTACTTCTATTATAATAGAAAATAGTCATTTTAAATTGAAATCTTGAGAATTGAGAATATTTCACAATATTACAGTTTTACTGTGTTTTTGATCAAATAAATGCAGCCTTGATGAGCACAAGAGGCTTAATTCAAAAACAAAAAATTAACCGACCCTGAATTTTTGAACATTAGTGTATGAATTGCCTTGTTTGACACCTGTTTGCTTCAAAGTTAATGCAGCTAGGCTGCCCTATTTAGGCCACAGTTTTAATAAGAATGTTAATGTTCTTGCTCATTCGCATGTCTGTTGTTTCATATTTTATTTCTCTGAGGTCCAGGGAAATTGAACTTGTTGCCATCAGTTAATGAAGAGCTGCAGATAGATGATGACTGTTTACAGAAGACGTTAGGTGTGGTGGCACTCCGCCTCTGTATTTACCTTTTACCGGAGCAGCAAATGTCAATCAATTGATCAATCAAACGTATCAATTGCAACTAGTTGGTTACCAGTCTGATGTATCACTTTGAGATGTTCGGGTGTAAATGTGGTTTTTATGCTTCACTTCATGGCCCTTCTCAGAGAAGACAGGAAAGGCTTGAGTCTGGGGACTGACATCCTGTGGCGGGACACACCCCATAGCTATAGGCAAGATCTTATTTTTACATTTTCACAGAGAGGAAGAGAAGGTAAACAAAGGCTTCTCACTTCCACAGCAACAAACGGTTAGCCTGGGTGATAGCATGTAGGGAGAGATCAGCTTTACAATGACCAGTAAGAATGAGAGGAAGTTCATCCAACACTTCCTCATCCTGTCCAGCTGTTCTTTTTTTTTTAAGCACTATGAACTTTTGTCTGCTGGATGTCTGACTGGGATGAACAGTTTTGTTCAAACAAAAATGGCTGTCGTCTATGAGCTTACCGCAAGGTCATAGGTTACTCATTATGGACTTTGTTACATTGAGTACCTGCAATATCTTTTATGACAGTCTTGACTTAATCACAATACACAGGCCTGTCGGTCCAGAGCTGTGTACTATGCATTGCACTTAGTCGATGATATAAATTTGTTTTTATGCTTTACCTTTTTTTGTTTCATGTCATGCGTTGGTTTTTAATATTGCATCATTTTAGTACAGGTATTCTGCTGCATAAATTCCAGCTATAATTGCAAATAAATAAAATAAAGTGTTCAATATTGTTGATAATATATATATTTTTAAAATGTGTTTTGTAAATAACTGTTAACAGTTATTATAACAATTTAATTAAAGCAGAAATATTTTTTGACACACTTCAGTTGAAAAGATTTTTTTATTTTTTATAATGTAACTTTTATTAAGCCATTGGACGTTACATTTGATCAGAAGTGACCGTAAAGACATTCATAATGTTACTAAATATTTTTTCTTTTTCAAATAAATGTTGTTCTTTTGAACTTTTTTTTTTTTTTTTTTCAAAAAAAAAAAGTTTCCAGGTTTCCC